CGGTGGGTTGAACACACGGTGGGTTGAACACACGGTGGGTTGAACACATGGTGGGTTTAACACACGGTGGGTTTAACACACGGTGGGTTGAACACACGGTGGGTTTAACACATGGTGGGTTGAACACACGGTGGGTTGAAGACACGGTGGGTTGAACACACGGTGGGTTGAACACACGGTGGGTTTAACACACGGTGGTTTGAACGAACGGTGGGTTGAACACACGGTGGGTTGAACACACGGTGGGTTGAACACATGGTGGGTTTAACACACGGTGGGTTTAACACACGGTGGGTTTAACACACGGTGGGTTTAACACATGGTGGGTTGAACACACGGTGGGTTGAACACACGGTGGGTTGAACACACGGTGGGTTGAACACACGGTGGGTTGAACAAACGGTGGGTTGAACACACGGTGGATTGAACACTTGGTGGGTTGAACACACGGTGGGTTGAACACACGGTGGGTTTAACACACGGTGGGTTTAACACACGGTGGGTCGAACACACGGTGGGTTTAACACATGGTGGGTTTAACACACGGTGGGTTGAACACACGGTGGGTTGAACACACGGTGGGTTTAACACACGGTAGGTTTAACACACGGTGGGTTGAACACACGGTGGGTTGAATACACGGTTGGTTGAACACACGGTAGGTTTAACACACTGTGGGTTGAACACACGGTGGGTTGAACACACGGTGGGTTGAACAGACGGTGGGTTGAACACACGGTAGGTTTAACACACGGTGGTTTGAACACACGATGGGTTGAACACATGGTGGGTTGAATACACGGTGGGTTGAACACACGGTGTGTTGAACAAACGGTGGGTTGACCACACGGTGGGTTTTACACACGGTGGGTTGAACACACGGTGGGTTGAACACACGGTGGGTTGAACACACGGTAGGTTTAACACACGGTGGGTTGAACACACGGTGGGTTGAACACACGGTGGGTTGAACACACGGTGTGTTGAACACCCGGTGGGTTAAACACACGGTGGGTTGAACAGACGCTGGGTTGAACACACGGTGGGTTGAACACACGGTGGGTTGAACACACGGTAGGTTTAACACGCGGTGGGTTTAAGACACGGTGGGTTGAACACACGGTGTGTTGAACACCCGGTGGGTTTAACACACGGTGGGTTTAACTCACGGTGGGTTGAACACACGGTGGGTTTAACACACGGTAGGTTGAACACACGGTGGGTTTAACACGCGGTGGGTTTAACATACGGTGGGCTTAACACACGGTGGGTTGAACACACGGTGGGTTGAACACACGGTGGGTTTAACACACGGTGGGTTTAACACACGGTGGGTTTAACACACGGTGGGTTTAACACATGGTGGGTTTAACACACGGTGGGTTGAACACACAGTGGGTTGAACACACGGTGGGTTGAACACACGGTGGGTTGAACACACGGTGGGTTGAACACACGGTGGGTTGAACACACGGTGGGTTGAACACACGGTGGGTTTAACACATGGTAGGTTTAACACACGGTGGGTTGAACACACGGTTGGTTGATCACACGGTAGGCTTAACACACTGTGGGTTGAACACACGGTGGGTTGAACACACGGTGGGTTGAACACACGGTGGGTTTAACACACGGTGGGTTAAACACACGGTGGGTTGAACACACGCTGGGTTGAAGACACGGTTGGTTTAACACACGGTGGGTTTAACACACGGTGGGTTGAACACACGGTGGGTTGAACACACGGTGGGTTGAACACACGGTGGGTTGAACACACGGTGGGTTGAACAAATGGTGGGTTGAACACACGGTGGGTTGAACACACGGTGGGTTGAACACACGGTGGGTTTAACACACGGTGGGTTGAACACATGGTGGGTTGATTACACGGTGGGTTGAACACACGGTAGGTTTTACACACGGTGGGTTTAACACACGGTGGGTTTAACACACGGTGGGTTTAACACACGGTGGGTTTAACACACGGTGGGTTGAACACACGGTGGGTTGAACACACGGTGGGTTTAACACACGGTGGGTTTAACACATGGTGGGTTTAACACACGGTGGGTTTAACTTACGGTGGGTTTAATACACGGTGGGTTTAACTCACGGTGGGTTTAACACACGGTGGGTTGAACACACGCTGGGTTGAAGACACGGTTGGTTTAACACACGGTGGGTTTAAGACATGGTGGGTTGAACACACGGTGGGTTTAACACACGGTGGGTTAAACACACGGTGGGTTGAACACACGGTGGGTTGAACACACGGTGGGTTGAACACACGGTGGGTTTAACACACGGTGGGTTGAACACACGGTGGGTTGAACACACGCTGGGTTGAGGACACGGTTGGTTTAACACACGGTGGGTTGAACACACGGTGGGTTGAACACACGTTGGGTTGAACACACGGTGGGTTGAACACACGGTGGGTTGAACACACGGTGGGTTGAACAAACGGTGGGTTGAACACACGGTGGGTTGAACACACGGTGGGTTGAACACATGGTGGGTTTAACACACGGTGGGTTTAACACACGGTGGGTTGAACACACGGTGGGTTTAACACATGGTGGGTTGAACACACGGTGGGTTGAACACACGGTGGGTTGAACACACGGTGGGTTGAACACACGGTGGGTTGAACAAACGGTGGGTTGAACACACGGTGGATTGAACACTTGGTGGGTTGAACACACGGTGGGTTGAACACACGGTGGGTTTAACACACGGTGGGTTTAACACACGGTGGGTCGAACACACGGTGGGTTTAACACATGGTGGGTTTAACACACGGTGGGTTGAACACACGGTGGGTTGAACACACGGTGGGTTTAACACACGGTAGGTTTAACACACGGTGGGTTGAACACACGGTGGGTTGAATACACGGTTGGTTGAACACACGGTAGGTTTAACACACTGTGGGTTGAACACACGGTGGGTTGAACACACGGTGGGTTGAACACACGGTGGGTTTAACACACGGTGGTTTGAACGAACGGTGGGTTGAACACACGGTGGGTTGAACACACGGTGGGTTGAACACATGGTGGGTTTAACACACGGTGGGTTTAACACACGGTGGGTTGAACACACGGTGGGTTTAACACATGGTGGGTTGAACACACGGTGGGTTGAACACACGGTGGGTTGAACACACGGTGGGTTGAACACACGGTGGGTTGAACAAACGGTGGGTTGAACACACGGTGGATTGAACACTTGGTGGGTTGAACACACGGTGGGTTGAACACACGGTGGGTTTAACACACGGTGGGTTTAACACACGGTGGGTCGAACACACGGTGGGTTTAACACATGGTGGGTTTAACACACGGTGGGTTGAACACACGGTGGGTTGAACACACGGTGGGTTTAACACACGGTAGGTTTAACACACGGTGGGTTGAACACACGGTGGGTTGAATACACGGTTGGTTGAACACACGGTAGGTTTAACACACTGTGAGTTGAACACACGGTGGGTTGAACACACGGTGGGTTGAACAGACGGTGGGTTGAACACACGGTAGGTTTAACACACGGTGGTTTGAACACACGATGGGTTGAACACATGGTGGGTTGAATACACGGTGGGTTGAACACACGGTGTGTTGAACAAACGGTGGGTTGACCACACGGTGGGTTTTACACACGGTGGGTTGAACACACGGTGGGTTGAACACACGGTGGGTTGAACACACGGTAGGTTTAACACACGGTGGGTTGAACACACGGTGGGTTGAACACACGGTGGGTTGAACACACGGTGTGTTGAACACCCGGTGGGTTAAACACACGGTGGGTTGAACAGACGCTGGGTTGAACACACGGTGGGTTGAACACACGGTGGGTTGAACACACGGTAGGTTTAACACGCGGTGGGTTTAAGACACGGTGGGTTGAACACACGGTGTGTTGAACACCCGGTGGGTTTAACACACGGTGGGTTTCACTCACGGTGGGTTGAACACACGGTGGGTTTAACACACGGTAGGTTGAACACACGGTGGGTTTAACACGCGGTGGGTTTAACATACGGTGGGCTTAACACACGGTGGGTTGAACACACGGTGGGTTGAACACACGGTGGGTTTAACACACGGTGGGTTTAACACACGGTGGGTTTAACACACGGTGGGTTTAACACATGGTGGGTTTAACACACGGTGGGTTGAACACACAGTGGGTTGAACACACGGTGGGTTGAACACACGGTGGGTTGAACACACGGTGGGTTTAACACACGGTGGGTTGAACACACGGTGGGTTGAACACACGGTGGGTTGAACACAGGGTGGGTTTAACACACTGTGGGTTGAACACACGGTGGGTTGAACACACGGTGGGTTGAACACACGGTGAGTTTAACACACGGTAGGTTTAACACACGGTGGGTTGAACACACGGTGGGTTGAACACACGGTTGGTTGAACACACGGTAGGTTTAACACACTGTGGGTTGAACACACAGTGGGTTGAACACACGGTGGGTTGAACACACGGTGGGTTGAACACACGGTTGGTTTAACACATGGTGGGTTGAACACACGATGGGTTGAACACATGGTGGGTTGAATACACGGTGGGTTGAACACACGGTGTGTTGAACACACGGTGGGTTGAACACACGGTGGGTTGAACACACGGTGGGTTGAACACACGGTAGGTTTAACACACGGTGGGTTGAACACACGGTGGGTTGAACACAAGGTGGGTTGAACACACGGTAGGTTTAACACACGGTGGGTTGAACACACGGTGGGTTGAACACACGGTGTGTTGAACACACGGTGGGTTGAACACACGGTGGGTTTAACACACGGTGGGTTGAACACACGGTGGGTTGAACACACGGTGGGTTGAACACACGGTGGGTTGAACACACGGTGGGTTGAACACACGGTGGGTTGAACACACGGTGGGTTTAACACACGGTGGGTTGAACACACGGTGGGTTGAACACACGGTGGGTTGAACACACGCTGGGTTTAAGAATGGGGAGGGGTGATGGAAAAGCGGGAGAATGGGGCGGGATGATGGGAAGCGGAAGAATGGGGCGGGGTGATCGAAAGCAGGAGAATGGGGCGGGGTGATGGAAAGCGGGAGAATGGGGCGGGGAGATGGAAAGCGGGAGAAAGAGGAGGGGTGATGGAAAGCGGGAGAATGGGGCGGGCTGATGGAAAGCGGGAGAATGGGGCAGGGTGATGGAAGGAGGGAGAACGGGGCGGGGTGATAGAAGGAGAGAGAAGGGGGCGGGGTGATAGAAAGTGGGAGAATGTGGCAGGATGATGGAAAGTGGGAGAATGGGGTGGGGTTATGAAAAGCGGGAGAATGAGGCGGGGTGATGGACAGCGGGAGAATGGGGCGGGGTGATGGAAGGAGTGAGAATGGGGCAGGGTGATGGAAGGAGGGATAACGGGGCGGAGTGATGGAAAGCGGGAGAATGGGGTGGGGTGATGGAAAGCCGGAGAATGGGGGCGGGGTGATGGAAAGCGAGAGAATGGGGCGGGGTGATGGAAGGAGGGAGAATGGGGAGGGGTGATGGAAAGTGGAGGAATGGGGCGTAATGATGGGAAGCGGAAGAATGGGGTGGGGTGATTGAAGGAGGGAGAATGGGGCGGGATGATGGAAAGCGGGAGAATGGGGCGGGGTGATGGAAAGCGGGAGAATAGGGCGGGGTGATGGAAAGCGGGAGAATGGGGCGGGGTGATGGAAATCGGGAGAATGGGGCGGGGTGATGGAAAGCAGGAGAATGGGGCGGGGTGATGGAAGGAGGGAGAATGGGGCGCGGTGATAGAAAGCGGGAGAATGTGGCGGGGTGATGGAAAGCGGGAGAATGGAGTGGGGTTATGAGAAGCGGGAGAATGGGGCGGGGTGATGGACAGCGGGAGAATGGGGCGGGGTGATGGAAGGAGGGAGAATGGGGCGGGGTGATGGAAAGCGGGAGAATGGGGCGGGCTGATGGAAAGCAGGAGAATGGGGCGGGGTGATGGAAGGAGGGAGAATGGGGCGGGGTGATGGAAGGAGAGAGAAGGGGGCGGGGTGACGGAAACTGGGAAAATTTGGCGGGGTGATGGAAAGCGGGAGAATGGGGTGGGGTTATGGGAAGCGGGAGAATGGGGCGGGGTGATGGAAAGCGGGAGAATGGGGCGGGGTGATGGAATGAGGGAGAATGGGGCGGGGTGATGGAAGGAGGGAGAATGGGGCGGGGTGATGGAAAGCCGGAGAATGGGGCGGGGTGATGGAAGGAGGAAGAATGGGCTGGGGTGATGGAAAGCGGGAGAATGGGGCGGGGTGATGGAAAGCGGGAGAATGGGGCGGGGTGATGGAAAGCGAGAGAATGGGGCGGGGTGATGGAAGGAGGGAGAATGGGGAGGGGTGATGGAAAGCGGGGGAATGGGGCGGGATGATGGGAAGCGGAAGAGTGGGGCGGGGTGATGGAAAGCGGGAGAACGGGGCGGGGTGATGGAAAGCGGGAGAATGGGGCGGGGAGATGGAAAGTGGGAGAAATGGGAGGGGTGATGGAAAGCGGGAGAACGGGGCGGGCTGATGGAAAGCGGGAGAATGGGGTGGGGTTATGGGAAGCGGGAGAATGGGGCGGGGTGATGGAAAGCGGGAGAATGGGGCAGGGTGATGGAATGAGGGAGAATGGGGCGGGGTGATGGAAGGAGGGAGAATGGGGCGGAGTGATGGAAAGCGGGAGAATGGGGCGGGGTGATGGAAGGAGGGAGAATGGGGCGGGATGATGGAAAGCGGGAGAATGGGGCGGGGTGATGGAAAGCGGGAGAATGGGGCGGGGTGATGGAAAGCGAGAGAATGGGGCGGGGTGATGGAAGGAGGGAGAATGGGGCGGGGTGATGGAAAGCGGGAGAATGGGGCGGGGTGATGGAAGGAGGGAGAATGGGGCGGGGTGATGGAAGGAGAGAGAAGGGGGCGGGGTGATGGAAAGTGGGAGAATGTGGCGGGGTGATGGAAAGCGGGAGAATACGGTGGGGTTATGGGAAGCGGGAGAATGGGGCGGGGTGATGAAAAGCGGGAGAATGGGGCGGGGTGATGGAAGGGGGGAGAATGGGGCGGGGTGATGGGAGGAGGGAGAATGGGGCGGAGTGATGGAAAGCGGGAGAATGGGGCGGGGTGATGGAAGGAGGGAGAATGGGGCGGGATGATGGAAAGCGGGAGAATGGGGCGGGGTGATGGAAAGCGGGAGAATGGGGCGGGGTGATGGAAGGAGGGAGAATAGGGCGGGGTGATAGAAAGCGGGAGAATGTGGCGGGGTGATGGAAAGCGGGAGAAGGGGGTGGGGTTATGGGAAGCGGGAGAATGGGGCGGGGTGATGGAAAGCGGGAGAATGGGGCAGGGTGATGGAATGAGGGAGAATGGGGCGGGGTGATGGAAGGAGGGAGAATGGGGCGGGGTGATGGAAGGAGGGAGAATGGGACGGGGTGATGGAAAGCGGGAGAATGGGGCGGGGAGATGGAAGGAGGGAGAATGGGGCGGGGTGATGGAAAGCGGGAGAATGGGGCGGGGTGATGGAAAGCGGGAGAATGGGGCGGGGTAATGGAAAGAGGGAGAAAGAGGCTGGGTGATGGAAAGCGGGAGAATGGGGCGGGGTGATGGAAAGCAAGAGAATGGGGCGGGGTGATAGGAGGGAGATTGGGGTGGGGTGATGGAAAGCGGGAGATTGGGGCAGGGTTATGGAAAGCGGGAGAATGGGGCGGGGTGATGGAAAGCGGGAAAATGGGGCGGGGTGATGGAAAGCGGGAGAATGGTGCGGGTGATGGAAAGCGGGAGAATGGGGCGGGGTGATGGAAAGCAGGAGAATGGGGCTGGGTGATGGAAAGCGGGAGAATGGGGCGGGGTGATGGAAAGCGGGAGAATGGGGCAGGGAGATGGAAAGCGGGAGAAAGGGGCGGGGTAATGGAAAGCGGGAGAATGGGGCGGGTTGATGTAAGGAGGGAGAATGGGGCGAGGTGATGGAAGGAGAGAGAAGGGGGCGGGGTGATGGAAAGTGGGAAAATGTGGCGGGGTGATGGAAAGCGGGAGAATGGGGTGGGGTTATGGGAAGCGGGAGAATGGGGCGGGGTGATGGAAAGCGGGAGAATGGGGCAGGGTGATGGAATGAGGGAGAATGGGGCGGGGTGATGGAAGGAGGGAGAATGGGGCGGGGTGATGGAAAGCGGGAGAATGGGGCGGGGTGATGGAAGGAGGAAGAATGGGGCGGGGTGATGGAAAGCGGAAGAATGGGGTGGGGTGATGGAAAGCGGGAGAATGGGGCGGGGTGATGGAAAGCGAGAGAATGGGGCGGGGTGATGGAAGGAGGGAGAATGGGGAGGGGTGATGGAAAGCGGGGGAATGGGGCGGGATGATGGGAAGCGGAAGAATGGGGCGGGGTGATGGAAAGCAGGAGAATGGGGCGGGGTGATGGAAAGCGGGAGAATGGGGCGGGGAGATGGAAAGTGGGAGAAAGGGGAGGGGTGATGGAAAGAGGGAGAATGGGGCGGGCTGATGGAAAGCGGGAGAATGGGGCGGGGTGATGGAAGGAGGGAGAATGGGGCGGGGTGGTGGAAGGAAAGAGAAGGGGGCGGGGTGATAGAAAGTGGGAGAATGTGGCGGGGTGATGGAAAGCAGGAGAATAAGGTGGGGTTATGGGAAGCGGGAGAATGGGGCGGGGTGATGGAAAGCGGGAGAATGGGGCGGGGTGATGGAAGGAGGGAGAATGGGGCGGGGTGATGGAAGGAGGGAGAATGGGGCGGAGTGATGGAAAGCGTTAGAATGGGGCGGGGTGATGGAAGGAGGGAGAATGGGGCGGGATGATGGAAAGCGGGAGAATGGGGCGGGGTGATGGAAAGCGGGAGAATGGGGCGGGGTGATGGAAGGAGGGAGAATGGGGCGGGGTGATAGAAAGCAGGAGAATGTGGCGGGGTGATGGAAAGCGGGAGAAGGGGGTGGGGTTATGGGAAGCGGGAGAATGGGGCGGGGTGATGGAAGGAGGGAGAATGGGGCGGGGTGATGGAAGGAGGGAGAATGGGACGGGGTGATGGAAAGCGGGAGAATGGGGCGGGGTGATGGAAGGAGGGAGAATAGGGCGGGGTGATGGAAAGCGGGAGAATGGGGCGGGGTGATGGAAAGCGTGAAAATGGGGCGGGGTGATGGAAAGCGGGAGAATGAGGCTGGGTGATGGAAAGGGGGAGAATGGGGCGGGGTGATGGAAAGTGGGAGAATGGGGCGGGGTGATGGAAGGAGGGAGAATCGGGTGGGGTGATGGAAAGCGGGAGATTGGGGCAGGGTGATGGAAAGCGATATTTTGGGCGGGGTGATGGAAAGCGGGAAAATGGGGCGGGGTGATGGAAAGCGGGAGAATGGGGCTGGGTGATGGAAAGCGGGAGAATGGGGCAGGGAGATGGAAAGCGGGAGAAAGGGGCGGGGTGATGGAAAGCGGGAGAATGGGGCGGGCTGATGGAAAGCGGGAGAATGGGGCGGGTTGACAGGAGGAGGGAGAATGGGGTGGGGTGATGGAAGGAGAGAGAAGGGGGCGGGGTGATGGAAAGTGGGAAAATGTGGCGGGGTGATGGAAAGCGGGAGAATGGGGTGGGGTTATGGGAAGCGGGAGAATGGAGCGGGGTGATGGAAAGCGGGAGAATGGAGCAGGGTGATGGAATGAGGGAGAATGGGGCGGGGTGATGGAAGGAGGGAGAATGGGGCGGGGTGATGGAAAGTGGGAGAATGGGGCGGGGTGATGGAAGGAGGGAGAATGGGGCGGGGTGATGGAAAGCGGGAGAATGGGTCGGGGTGATGGAAAGCGGGAGAATGGGGCGGGGTGATGGAAAGCGAGAGAATGGGGCGGGGTGATGGAAGGAGGGAGAATGGGGAGGGTGATGGAAAGCGGGGGAATGGGGCGGGATGATGGGAAGCGGAAGAATGGGGCGGGGTGATGGAAAGCAGGAGAATGGGGCGGGGTGATGGAAAACGGGAGAGTGGGGCGGGGAGATGGAAAGTGGGAGAAAGGGGAGGGGTGATGGAAAGCGGGAGAATGGGGCGGGCTGATGGAAAGCGGGAGAATGGGGCAGGGTGATGGAAGGAGGGAGAATGGGGCGGGGTGATGGAAGGAGAGAGAAGGGGGCAGGGTGATAGAAAGTGGGAGAATGTGGCGGGGTGATGGAAAGCGGGAGAATGGGGTGGGGTTATGGGAAGCGGAAGAATGAGGCGGGGTGATGGAAAGCGGGAGAATGGGGCGGGGTGATGGAAGTAGGGAGAATGGGGCGGGGTGATGGAAGGAGGGATAATGGGGCGGAGTGATGGAAAGCGAGAGAATGGGGCGGGGTGATGGAAAGCGGGAGAATGGGGCGGGGTGATGGAAAGCGAGAGAATGGGGCGGGGTGATGGAAGGAGGGAGAATGGGGAGGGGTGATGGAAAGCGGGGGAATGGGGCGGGATGATGGGAAGCGGAAGAATGGGGCGGGGTGATGGAAGGAGGGAGAATGGGGCGGGATGATGGAAAGCGGGAGAATGGGGCGGGGTGATGGAAAGCGGGAGAATGGGGCGGGGTGATGGAAGGAGGGAGAATGGGGCGGGGTGATAGAAAGCGGGAGAATGTGGCGGGGTGATGGAAAGCGGGAGAATGGGGTGGGGTTATGGGAAGCGGGAGAATGGGGCGGGGTGATGGAAAGCGGGAGAATGGGGCGGGATGATGGAAGGAGGGAGAATGGGGCGGGGTGATGGAAGGAGGGAGAATGGGGCGGGGTGATGGAAAGCGGGAGAATGGGGCGGGGTGATGGAAGGAGGGAGAATGGGGAGGGGTGATGGAAAGCGGTGGAATGGGGCAGGATGATGGGAAGCGGAAGAATGGGGCGGGGTGATGGAAAGCGGGAGAATGGGGCGGGGTGATGGAAAGCGGGAGAATGGGGCGGGGTGATGGAAAGCGGGAGAATGGGGCGGGGTGATGGAAAGCGGGAGAATGGGGCGGGCTGATGGAAAGCGGGAGAATGGGGCGGCGTGATGGAAAGCGGGAGAATGGGGCGGGGTGATGGAAAGCGAGAGAATGGGGCAGGGTGATGGAAGGAGGGAGAATGGGGAGGGGTGATGGAAAGCGGGGGAATGGGGCGGGACGATGGGAAGCGGAAGAATGGGGCGGGTTGATGGAAAGCGGGAGAATGGGGCGGGGTGATGGAAAGCGGGAGAATGGGGCGGGGAGATGGAAAGCGGGAGAATGGGGTGGGGTTATGGGAAGCAGGAGATTGGGGCGGGGTGATGGAAAGCGGGAGAATGGGGCGGGGTGATGGAAGGAGGGAGAATGGGGCGGGGTGATGGAAGGAGGGAGAATGGGGCGGAGTGATGGAAAGCGGGAGAATGGGGCGGGGTGATGGAAGGAGGGAGAATGGGGCGGGATGATGGAAAGCGGGAGAATGGGGCGGGGTGATGGAAATCGGGAGAATGGGGCGGGGTGATAGAAGGAGGGAGAATGGGGCGGGGTGATAGAAAGCGGGAGAATGTGGCGGGGTGATGGAAAGCGGGAGAATGGGGCGGGGTGATGGAAGGAGGGAGAATGGGGCAGGGTGATGGAAGGAGGGAGAATGGGGCGGGGTGATGGAAAGCGGGAGAATGGGGCGGGGTGATGGAAAGCAGAAGAATGGGGCCGGGTTATGGAAAGCGGGAGAATGGGGCGAGGTGATGGAAAGCGGGAGAATGGGGCGGGTGATGGAAAGCGGAAGAATGGGGCGGGGTGATGGAAGGAGGGAGAATGGGGAGGGGTGATGTAAAGCGGTGGAATGGGGCGGGATGATGGGAAACGGAAGAATGGGGCGGGGTGATGGAAAGCGGGAGAATGGGGCGGGGTGATGGAAAGCGGGAGAATGGGGCGGGGAGATGGAAAGCGGGAGAAAGGGGCGGGATGATGGAAAGCGGGAGAATGGGGCGGGCTGATGGAAAGCGGGAGAATGGGGCGGGGTGATGGAAGGAGGGAGAATGGGGCGGGGTGATGGAAGGAGAGAGAAGGGGGCGGGGTGATGGAAAGTGGGAAAATGTGGCGGGGTGATGGAAAGCAGGAGAATGGGGTGGGGTTATGGGAAGCGGGAGAATGGGGCTGGGTGATGGAAAGCGGGAGAATGGGGCGGGGTGATGGAATGAGGGAGAATGGGGCGGGGTGATGGAAGGAGAGAGAATGGGGCGGGGTGATGGAAAGCGGGAGAATGGGGCGGGGTGATGGAAGGAGGGAGAATGGGGCGGGGTGATGGAAAGCGGGAGAATGGGGCGGCGTGATGGAAAGCGGGAGAATGGGGCGGGGTGATGGAAAGCGAGAGAATGGGGCGGGGTGATTGAAGGAGGGAGAATGGGGAGGGGTGATGGAAAGCGGGGGAATGGGGCGAGATGATGGGAAGCGGAAGAATGGGGCGGGGTGATGGAAAGCGGGAGAATGGGGCGGGGTGATGGAAAGCGGGAGAATGGGGCGGGGAGATGGAAAGCGGGAAAAAGGGGAGGGGTGATGGAAAGCGGGATAATGGGGCGGGCTGATGGAAAGCAGGAGAATGGGGCGGGGTGATGGAATGAGGGAGAATGGGGCGGGGTGATCGAAGGAGAGAGAAGGGGGCGGGGTGATGGAAAGTGGGAGAATGTGGCGGGGTGATGGAAAGCGGGAGAATGGGGTGGGGTTATGGGAAGCGGGAGAATGAGGCGGGGTGATGGAAAGCAGGAGAATGGGGCGGGGTGATGGAAGGAGGGAGAATGGGGCGGGGTGATGCAAGGAGGGATAATGGGGCGGAGTGATGGAAAGCGGGAAAATGGGGCAGGGTGATGGAAAGCGGGAGAATGGGGCGGGGTGATGGAAAGCGAGAGAATGGGGCAGGGTGATGGAAGGAGGGAGAATGGGGAGGGGTGATGGAAAGCGGGGGAATGGGGCGGGATGATGGGAAGCGGAAGAATGGGGCGGGGTGATGGAAGGAGGGAGAATGGGGCGGGATGATGGAAAGAGGGAGAATGGGGCGGGGTGATGGAAAGCGGGAGAATGGGGCGGGGTGATGGAAAGCGGGAGAATGGGGCGGGGTGATGGAAATCGGGAGAATGGGGCGGGGTGATGGAAAGCGGGAGAATGGGGCGGGGTGATGGAAGGAGGGAGAATGGGGCGGGGTGATAGAAAGCGGGAGAATGTGGCGGGGTGATGGAAAGCGGGGAGAATGGGGTGGGGTTTTGGGAAGCGGGAGAATAGGGCGGGGTGATGGAAAGCAGGAGAATGGGGCGGGGTGATGGAAGGAGGGAGAATGGGGCGGGTTGATGGAAGGAGGGAGAATGGGGCGGAGTGATGGAAAGCGGGAGAATGGGACGGGGTGATGGAAGGTGGGAGAATGGGGCGGGGTGATGGAAGGAGGGAGAATGGGGCGGGATGATGGAAAGCGGGAGAATGGGGCGGGGTGATGGAAGGAGGGAGAATGGGGCGGGGTGATGGAAAGCGGGAGAATGGGGCGGGGTGATGGAAAGCGGGAGAATGGGGCGGGTGATGGAAAGCGGGAGAATGGGGCGGGGTGATGGAAAGCGAGAGAATGGGGCGGGGTGATGGAAGGAGGGAGAATGGGGCGGGGTGATGGAAAGCGGAAGATTGGGGCAGGGTGATGGAAAGCGGGAGATTGGGGCAGGGTGATGGAAAGCGGGAAAATGGGGCGGGGTGATGGAAAGCGGGAGAATGGGGCGGGATGATGGAAAGCGGGAGAATGGGGCGGGGTGATGGAAGGAGGGAGAATGGGGCGGGGTGATGGAAGGAGGGAGAAGGGGGCGGGGTGATGGAAAGCGGGAGAATGGGGCGGGTTGATGGAAAGCGGGAGAATGGGGCGGGGTGATGGAAGGAGGGAGAATGGGGCGGGGTGATGGAAGGAGGGAGAAGGTGGCGGGGTGATGGAAAGCGGGAGAATGGGGCGGGGTGATGGAAAGCGGGAGAATGGGGCGGGGTGATGGAAACCAGGAGAATGCGGCGGGGTGATGGAAAGTGGGAGAATGGGGCGGGCTGATGGAAAGCGGGAGAATGGGGCGGGGTTATGGAAGGAGGGAGAATGGGGCGGGGTGATTCAAGGAGGGATAATGGGGCGGAGTGATGGAAAGCGGGAAAATGGGGCGGGGTGATGGAAAGCGGGAGAATGGGGCGGGGTGATGGAAAGCGAGAGAATGGGGCAGGGTGATGGAAGGAGGGAGAATGGGGCGGGAAGATGGAAAGCGGGAGAAAGGGGCGGGTTGATGGAAAGCGGGAGAATGGGGCGGGCTGATTGAAAGCGGGAAAATGGGGCGGGGTGATGGAAGGAGGGAGAATGGGGCGGGGTGGTGGAAGGAGGGAGAAGGGGGCGAGGTGATGGAAAGCGGGAGAAGGGGGCGGGGTGATGGAAAGCGGGAGAATGGGGCGGGGTGATGGAAGGAGGGAGAAGGGGGCGGGGTGATGGAAAGCGGGAGAATGGGGCGGGTTGATGGAAAGCGGGAGAATGGGGCGGGGTGATGGAAGGAGGGAGAATGGGGCGGGGTGATGGAAGGAGGTAGAATGAGGCGGGGTGATGGAAAGCGGGAGAATGGGGCGGGGTGATGGAAAGCGGGAGAATGGGGCGGGGTGATGGAAAGCGGGATAATGGGGCGGGGTGATGGAAAGCGGGAGAATGGGGCGGGGTGATGGAAAGCGGGAGAATGGGGCGGGGTGATGGAAAGCGGGAGAATGGGGCGGGGTGATGGAAGGAGGGAGAATGGGGCGGGGTGATGGAAAGCGGAAGATTGGGGCAGGGTGATGGAAAGCGGGAGATTGGGGCAGGGTGATGGAAAGCGGGAAAATGGGGCGGGGTGATGGAAAGCGGGAGAATGGGGCGGGATGATGGAAAGCGGGAGAATGGGGCGGGGTGATGGAAGGAGGGAGAATGGGGCGGGGTGATGGAAGGAGGGAGAAGGGGGCGGGGTGATGGAAAGCGGGAGAATGGGGCGGGTTGATGGAAAGCGGGAGAATGGGGCGGGGTGATGGAAGGAGGGAGAATGGGGCGGGGTGATGGAAGGAGGGAGAAGGTGGCGGGGTGATGGAAAGCGGGAGAATGGGGCGGGGTGATGGAAAGCGGGAGAATGGGGCGGGGTGATGGAAAGCGGGAGAATGGGGCGGGTGATGGAAAGCGGGAGAATGGGGCGGGGTGATGGAAAGCGAGAGAATGGGGCGGGGTGATGGAAGGAGGGAGAATGGGGCGGGGTGATGGAAAGCGGAAGATTGGGGCAGGGTGATGGAAAGCGGGAGATTGGGGCAGGGTGATGGAAAGCGGGAAAATGGGGCGGGGTGATGGAAAGCGGGAGAATGGGGCGGGATGATGGAAAGCGGGAGAATGGGGCGGGGTGATGGAAGGAGGGAGAATGGGGCGGGGTGATGGAAGGAGGGAGAAGGGGGCGGGGTGATGGAAAGCGGGAGAATGGGGCGGGTTGATGGAAAGCGGGAGAATGGGGCGGGGTGATGGAAGGAGGGAGAATGGGGCGGGGTGATGGAAGGAGGGAGAAGGTGGCGGGGTGATGGAAAGCGGGAGAATGGGGCGGGGTGATGGAAAGCGGGAGAATGGGGCGGGGTGATGGAAACCAGGAGAATGCGGCGGGGTGATGGAAAGTGGGAGAATGGGGCGGGCTGATGGAAAGCGGGAGAATGGGGCGGGGTTATGGAAGGAGGGAGAATGGGGCGGGGTGATTCAAGGAGGGATAATGGGGCGGAGTGATGGAAAGCGGGAAAATGGGGCGGGGTGATGGAAAGCGGGAGAATGGGGCGGGGTGATGGAAAGCGAGAGAATGGGGCAGGGTGATGGAAGGAGGGAGAATGGGGCGGGAAGATGGAAAGCGGGAGAAAGGGGCGGGTTGATGGAAAGCGGGAGAATGGGGCGGGCTGATTGAAAGCGGGAAAATGGGGCGGGGTGATGGAAGGAGGGAGAATGGGGCGGGGTGGTGGAAGGAGGGAGAAGGGGGCGAGGTGATGGAAAGCGGGAGAAGGGGGCGGGGTGATGGAAAGCGGGAGAATGGGGCGGGGTGATGGAAGGAGGGAGAAGGGGGCGGGGTGATGGAAAGCGGGAGAATGGGGCGGGTTGATGGAAAGCGGGAGAATGGGGCGGGGTGATGGAAGGAGGGAGAATGGGGCGGGGTGATGGAAGGAGGTAGAATGAGGCGGGGTGATGGAAAGCGGGAGAATGGGGCGGGGTGATGGAAAGCGGGAGAATGGGGCGGGGTGATGGAAAGCGGGATAATGGGGCGGGGTGATGGAAAGCGGGAGAATGGGGCGGGGTGATGGAAAGCGGGAGAATGGGGCGGGGTGATGGAAAGCGGGAGAATGGGGCGGGGTGATGGAAGGAGGGAGAATGGGGCGGGGTGATGGAAAGCGGAAGATTGGGGCAGGGTGATGGAAAGCGGGAGATTGGGGCAGGGTGATGGAAAGCGGGAAAATGGGGCGGGGTGATGGAAAGCGGGAGAATGGGGCGGGATGATGGAAAGCGGGAGAATGGGGCGGGGTGATGGAAGGAGGGAGAATGGGGCGGGGTGATGGAAGAAGGGAGAAGGGGGCGGGGTGATGGAAAGCGGGAGAATGGGGCGGGTTGATGGAAAGCGGGAGAATGGGGCGGGGTGATGGAAGGAGGGAGAATGGGGCGGGGTGATGGAAGGAGGGAGAAGGTGGCGGGGTGATGGAAAGCGGGAGAATGGGGCGGGGTGATGGAAAGCGGGAGAATGGGGCGGGGTGATGGAAACCAGGAGAATGGGGCGGGGTGATGGAAAGTGGGAGAATGGGGCGGGCTGATGGAAAGCGGGAGAATGGGGCGGGGTTATGGAAGGAGGGAGAATGGGGCGGGGTGATGCAAGGAGGGATAATGGGGCGGAGCGATGGAAAGCGGGAAAATGGGGCGGGGTGATGGAAAGCGGGAGAATGGGGCGGGGTGATGGAAGGAGGGAGAAGGGGGCGGGGTGATGGAAAGCGGGAGAATGGGGCGGGGTGATGGAAAGCGGGAGAATGGGGCGGGGTGATGGAAGGAGGGAGAATGGGGCAGGGTGATGGAAAGCGGGAGAATGGGGCGGGGTGATGGAAAGCGGGAGAATGGGGCGGGGTGATGGAAAGCGGGAGAATGGGGCGGGGTGATGGAAAGCGGGAGAATGGGGCGGGGTGATGGAAAGTGGGAGAATGGGGCGGGCTGATGGAAAGCGGGAGAATGGGGCGGGGTGATGGAAGGAGGGAGAATGGGGCGGGGTGATGGAAGGAAGGAGAATGGGAAGGGGTGATGGAAAGCCGGAGAATGTGGCGGGGTGATGGAAAGTGGGAGAATGGGGCGGGCTGATGGAAAGCGGGAGAATGGGGCGGGGTGATGGAAAGCGGGAGAATGGGGCGGGGTGATGGAAGGAGGTAGAATGAGGCGGGGTGATGGAAAGCGGGAGAATGGGGCGGGGTGATGGAAAGCGGGAGAATGGGGCGGGGTGATGGAAAGCGGGAGAATGGGGCGGGGTGATGGAAAGTGGGAGAATGGGGCGGGCTGATGGAAAGCGGGAGAATGGGGCGGGGTGATGGAAGGAGGGAGAATGGGGCGGGGTGATGGAAGGAAGGAGAATGGGAAGGGGTGATGGAAAGCCGGAGAATGTGGCGGGGTGATGGAAAGCGGGAGAATGGGGTGGGGTTATGGGAAGCGGGAGAATGGGGCGGGGTGATGGAAAGCGGGAGAATGGGGCGGGGTGATGGAAGGAGGGAGAATGGGGCGGGGTGATGGAAGGAGGGAGAATGGGGCGGGATGATGGAAAGCGGGAGAATGGGGCGGGGTGATGGAAGGAGGGAGAATGGGGCGGGGTGATGGAAAGCGGGAGAATGGGGCGGGGTGATGGAAAGCGGGAGAATGGGGCGGGGTGATGGAAGGAGGGAGAATGGGGCGGGGTGATGGAAGGAGGGAGAATGTGGCGGGATGATGGAAAGCGGGAGAATGGGGCGGGGTGATGGAAGGAGGGAGAATGGGGCGGGGTGATGGAAAGCGGGAGAATGGGGCGGGGTGATGGAAAGCGGGAGAATGGGGCGGGGTGATGGAAAGCGGGAGAATGGGGCGGGGTGATGGAAAGCGGGAGAATGGGGCGGGGTGATGGAAGGAGGGAGAATGGGGCGGGTTGATGGAAAGCGGAAGATTGGGGCAGGGTGATGGAAAGCGGGAGATTGGGGCAGGGTGATGGAAAGCGGGAAAATGGGGCGGGGTGATGGAAAGCGGGAGAATGGGGCTGGGTGATGGAAAGCGGGAGAATGGGGCGGGGAGATGGAAAGCGGGAGAAAGGGGCGGGTTGATGGAAAGCGGGAGAATGGGGCGGGCTGATGGAAAGCGGGAAAATGGGGCGGGGTGATGGAAGGAGGGAGAATGGGGCAGGGTGGTGGAAGGAGGGAGAAGGGGGCGGGGTGATGGAAAGCGGGAGAATGGGGCGGGGTGATGGAAAGCGGGAGAATGGGGCAGGGTGATGGAAAGCGGGAGAATGGGGCGGGGTGATGGAAAGCGGGAGAATGGGGCGGGGTGATGGAAAGCGGGAGAATGGGGCGGGGTGATGGAAGGAGGGAGAATGGGGCGGGGTGATGGAAGGAGGGAGAATGGGGCGGGATGATGGAAAGCGGGAGAATTGGGCGGGGTGATGGAAGGAGGGAGAATGGGGCGGGATGATGGAAAGCGGGAGAATGGGGCGGGGTGATGGAAAGCGGGAGAATGGGGCGGGGTGATGGAAAGCGGGAGAATGGGGCGGGGTGATGGAAAGTGGGAGAATGGGGCGGGGTGATGGAAGGAGGGAGAATGGGGCGGGGTGATGGAAAGCGGAAGATTGGGGCAGGGTGATGGAAAGCGGGAGATTGGGGCAGGGTGATGGAAAGCGGGAAAATGGGGCGGGGTGATGGAAAACGGGAGAATGGGGTGGGATGATGGAAAGCGGGAGAATGGGGCGGGGTGATGGAAGGAGGGAGAATGGGGCAGGGTGATGGAAGGAGGGAGAAGGGGGCGGGGTGATGGAAAGCGGGAGAATGGGGCGGGGTGATGGAAGGAGGGAGAATGGGGCGGGGTGATGTAAGGAGGGAGAAGGGGGCAGGGTGATGGAAAGCGGGAGAATGGGGCGGGGTGATGGAAAGCGGGAGAATGGGGCGGGGTGATGGAAAGCGGGAGAATGGGGCGGGGTGATGGAAAGCGGGAGAATGGGGCGGGGTGATGGAAGGAGGGAGAATGGGGCGGGGTGATGGAAGGAAGGAGAATGGGACGGGGTGATGGAAGGAAGGAGAATGGGACGGGGTGATGGAAAGCCGGAGAATGTGGCGGGGTGATGGAAAGCGGGAGAATGGGGCGGGGTTATGGGAAGCGGGAGAATGGGGCGGGGTGATGGAAAGCGGGAGAATGGGGCGGGGTGATGGAAGGAGGGAGAATGGGGCGGGGTGATGGAAGGAGGGAGAATGGGGCGGGATGATGGAAAGTGGGAGAATTGGGCGGGGTGATGGAAGGAGGGAGAATGGGGCGGGATGATGGAAAGCGGGAGAATGGGGCGGGGTGATGGAAAGCGGGAGAATGGGGCGGGGTGATGGAAAGCGGGAGAATGGGGCGGGGTGATGGAAAGCGGGAGAATGGGGCGGGGTGATGGAAGGAGGGAGAATGGGGCGGGGTGATGGAAAGCGGAAGATTGGGGCAGGGTGATGGAAAGCGGGAGATTGGGGCAGGGTGATGGAAAGCGGGAAAATGGGGCGGGGTGATGGAAAGCGGGAGAATGGGGTGGGATGATGGAAAGCGGGAGAATGGGGCGGGGTGATGGAAGGAGGGAGAATGGGGCAGGGTGATGGAAGGAGGGAGAAGGGGGCGGGGTGATGGAAAGCGGGAGAATGGGGCGGGGTGATGGAAGGAGGGAGAATGGGGCGGGGTGATGTAAGGAGGGAGAAGGGGGCAGGGTGATGGAAAGAGGGAGAATGGGGCGGGGTGATGGAAAGCGGGAGAATGGGGCGGGGTGATGGAAAGCGGGAGAATGGGGCGGGGTGATGGAAAGTGGGAGAATGGGGCGGGCTGATGGAAAGCGGGAGAATGGGGCGGGGTGATGGAAGGAGGGAGAATGGGGCGGGGTGATGGAAGGAAGGAGAATGGGACGGGGTGATGGAAAGCCGGAGAATGTGGCGGGGTGATGGAAAGCGGGAGAATGGGGTGGGGTTATGGGAAGCGGGAGAATGGGGCGGGGTGATGGAAAGCGGGAGAATGGGGCGGGGTGATGGAAGGAGGGAGAATGGGGCGGGGTGATGGAAGGAGGGAGAATGGGGCGGGATGATGGAAAGCGGGAGAATGGGGCGGGGTGATGGAAGGTTCAAGAATGGGGCGGGGTGATGGAAAGCGGGAGAATGGGGCGGGGTGATGGAAAGCGGGACAATGGGGCGCGGTGATGGAAGAAGGGAGAATGGGGCGGGGTGATGGAAGGAGGGAGAATGGGGCGGGATGATGGAAAGCGGGAGAATGGGGCGGGGTGATGGAAGGAGGGAGAATGGGGCGGGGTGATGGAAGGAGGGAGAATGGGGCGGGGTGATGGAAAGCGGGAGAATGGGGCAGGGTGATGGAAAGCGGGAGAATGGGGCGGGGTGATGGAAAGCAGGAGAATGGGGCGGGGTGATGGAAAGCGGGAGAATGGGGCGGGGTGATGGAAAGTGGGAGAATGGGGCGGGCTGATGGAAAGCGGGAGAATGGGGCGGGCTGATGGAAGGAGGGAGAATGGGGCGGGGTGATGGAAGGAAGGAGAATGGGACGGGGTGATGGAAAGCCGGAGAATGTGGCGGGGTGATGGAAAGCGGGAGAATGGGGTGGGGTTATGGGAAGCGGGAGAATGGGGCGAGGTGATGGAAAGCGGGAGAATGGGGCGGGGTGATGGAAGGAGGGAGAATGGGGCGGGGTGATGGAAGGAGGGAGAATGGGGCGGGATGATGGAAAGCGGGAGAATGGGGCGGGGTGATGGAAGGAGGGAGAATGGGGCGGGGTGATGGAAAGCGGGAGAATGGGGCGGGGTGATGGAAAGCGGGAGAATGGGGCGGGGTGATGGAAAGCGGGAGAATGGGGCGGGGTGATGGAAAGCGGGAGAATGGGGCGGGGTGATGGAAAGCGGAAGAATGGGGCGGGGTGATGGAAGGAGGGAGAATGGGGCGGGGTGATGGAAAGCGGAAGATTGGGGCAGGGTGATGGAAAGCGGGAGATTGGGGCAGGGTGATGGAAAGCGGGAAAATGGGGCGGGGTGATGGAAAGCGAGAGAATGGGGCTGGGTGATGGAAAGCGGGAGAATGGGGCGGGGAGATGGAAAGCGGGAGAAAGGGGCGGGTTGATGGAAAGCGGGAGAATGGGGCGGGCTGATGGAAAGTGGGAGAATGGGGCAGGGTGATGGAAGGAGGGAGAATGGTGCGGGGTGGTGGAAGGAGGGAGAAGGGGGCGGGGTGATGGAAAGCGGGAGAATGGGGCGTGGTGATGGAAAGCGGGAGAATGGGGCGGGGTGATGGAAAGCGGGAGAATGGGGCGGGGTGATGGAAAGCGGGAGAATGGGGCGGGGTGATGGAAAGCGGGAGAATGGGGCGGGGTGATGGAAAGCGGGAGAATGGGGCGGGGTGATGGAAAGCAGAAGATTGGGGCAGGGTGATGGAAAGCGGGAGATTGGGGCGGGGTGATGTAAAGCGGGAAAATGGGGCGGGGCGATGGAAAGCGGGAGAATGGGGCGGGGTGATGGAAAGCGGGAGAATGGGGCGGGGTGATGGAAGGAGGGAGAATGGGGCGGGGTGATGGAAAGCGGGGGATTGGGGAAGGGTGATGGAAAGCGGGAGAACGGGGCGGGGTGATGGAAAGCGGGAAAATGGGGCGGGGTGATGGAATGCGGGAGAATAGGGCTGGGTGATGGAAAGCGGGAGAATGAGGCGGGGTGATGGAAAGCCGGAGCATGGGGCGGGGTGATGGAAGGAGGGAGAATGAGGCAGGGTGATGGAAGGAGGGAGAATGGGCCGGGGTGATGGAAAGCCGGAGAATGGGGCGGGGTGATGGAAAGCGGGAGAATGGGGCGGGGTGATGGAAAGCGGGAGAATGGGGCGGGGTGATGGAAAGCGGGAGAATGGGGAGGGGTGTTGGAAAGCGGGAGAATGGGGCGGGGTGATGAAAAGCGGGAGAATGGGGCGGGTTGATGGAGAGCGGGAGAATGGGGCGGGGTGATGGAAAGCGGGAGATGGGGCGGGTGATGGAAAGCGGGTGAATGGTGTGGGGTGATGGAAAGCGGGAGAATGGGGCGGGGTGATGGAAAGCAGAAGAATGGGGCGGGGTGATGGAAAGTGGGAGAATGGGGAGGGGTGATGGAAAGCGGGGGAATGGGGCGGGATGATGGGAAGCGGAAGAATGGGGCGGGGTGATGGAAAGCGGGAGAATGGGGCAGGGTGATGGAAAGTGGGAGAATGGGGCGGGGAGATGGAAAGCGGGAGAATGGGGCGGGGTGATGGAAGGAGGGAGAATGGGGCGGGGTGATGGAAGGAGGGAGAATGGGGCGGGGTGATGGAAAGTGGGAGAATGTGGCGGGGTGATGGAAAGCGGGAGATGGGGCTGGGGTTATGGGAAGCGGAGAATTGGGCGGGGTGATGGAAGGAGGGAGAATGGGGCGGGGTGATGGAAAGTGGGAGAATGGGGCGGGGTGATGGAAAGCAGGAGAATGGGGCGGGCTGATGGAAAGCGGGAGAATTGGGCGGGGTGATGGAAAGCGTGAGAACGGGGCGGGGTGATGGAAAGCGGGAGAATGGGGCGGGGTGATGGAAAGCAGGGGAATGGGGCGGGGTGATGGAAAGCGGGAGAATTGGGTGGGGTGATGGAAAGCGGGAGAATGGGGCGGGGTGATGGAAAGCGGGAGAATTGGGCGGGGTGATGGAAAGCGGGCGAACGGGGCGGGGTGATGGAAAGCGGGAGAATGGGGCGAGGTGATGGAAAGCGGGAGAATGGGGCGGGGTGATGGAAGGAGGGAGAATGGGGCGGGGTGATGGAAAGCGGGAGAATAGGGCGGGGTGATGGAAAGCGGGAGAATAGGGCGGGGTGATGGAAAGCGGGAGAATGGAGCGGGGTGATGGAAAGAGGGAGAATGGGACGGGGTGATGGAAAGCGGGAGAATGGGGCGGGGTGATGAAAAGCGGGAGAATGGGGCGGGGAGATGGAAAGCAGGAGAATGGGGCGGGGTGATGGAAAGCGGGAGAATGGGGCGGGGTGATGGAAAGCGGGAGAATGGGGCGGGGTGATGGAAAGCGGGAGAATGGGGCGGGGTGATGGAAAGTGGGAGAATGGGGCGGGCTGATGGAAAGCGGGAGAATGGGGCGGGGTGATGGAAGGAGGGAGAATGGGGCGGGGTGATGGAAGGAAGGAGAATGGGAAGGGGTGATGGAAAGCCGGAGAATGTGGCGGGGTGATGGAAAGCGGGAGAATGGGGTGGGGTTATGGGAAGCGGGAGAATGGGGCGGGGTGATGGAAAGCGGGAGAATGGGGCGGGGTGATGGAAGGAGGGAGAATGGGGCGGGGTGATGGAAGGAGGGAGAATGGGGCGGGATGATGGAAAGCGGGAGAATGGGGCGGGGTGATGGAAGGAGGGAGAATGGGGCGGGGTGATGGAAAGCGGGAGAATGGGGCGGGGTGATGGAAAGCGGGAGAATGGGGCGGGGTGATGGAAGGAGGGAGAATGGGGCGGGGTGATGGAAGGAGGGAGAATGTGGCGGGATGATGGAAAGCGGGAGAATGGGGCGGGGTGATGGAAGGAGGGAGAATGGGGCGGGGTGATGGAAAGCGGGAGAATGGGGCGGGGTGATGGAAAGCGGGAGAATGGGGCGGGGTGATGGAAAGCGGGAGAATGGGGCGGGGTGATGGAAAGCGGGAGAATGGGGCGGGGTGATGGAAGGAGGGAGAATGGGGCGGGGTGATGGAAAGCGGAAGATTGGGGCAGGGTGATGGAAAGCGGGAGATTGGGGCAGGGTGATGGAAAGCGGGAAAATGGGGCGGGGTGATGGAAAGCGGGAGAATGGGGCTGGGTGATGGAAAGCGGGAGAATGGGGCGGGGAGATGGAAAGCGGGAGAAAGGGGCGGGTTGATGGAAAGCGGGAGAATGGGGCGGGCTGATGGAAAGCGGGAAAATGGGGCGGGGTGATGGAAGGAGGGAGAATGGGGCAGGGTGGTGGAAGGAGGGAGAAGGGGGCGGGGTGATGGAAAGCGGGAGAATGGGGCGGGGTGATGGAAAGCGGGAGAATGGGGCAGGGTGATGGAAAGCGGGAGAATGGGGCGGGGTGATGGAAGGAGGGAGAATGGGGCGGGGTGATGGAAGGAAGGAGAATGGGGCGGGGTGATGGAAAGCGGGAGAATGTGGCGGGGTGATGGAAAGCGGGAGAATGGGGCGGGGTTATGGGAAGCGGGAGAATGGGGCGGGGTGATGGAAAGCGGGAGAATGGGGCGGGCTGATGGAAAGCGGAAGAATGGGGCGGGTTGATGGAAGGAAGGAGAATGGGGCGGGGTGATGGAAGGAGAGAGAAGGGGGCGGGGTGATGGAAAGTGGGAGAATGTGGCGGGGTGATGGAAAGCGGGAGAATGGGGTGAGGTTATGGGAAGCGGGAGAATGGGGCGGGGTGATGGAATGAGGGAGAATGGGGCGGGGTGATGGAAGAAAGGAGAATGGGGCGGGGTGATGGAAAGCGGGAGAATGGGGCGGGGTGATGGAAGGAGGGAGAATGGGGCGGGGTGATTGAAAGCGGGAGAATGGGGCGGCGTGATGGAAAGCGGGAGAATGGGGCGGGGTGATGGAAAGCGAGAGAATGGGGCCGGGTGATGGAAGGAGGGAGAATGGGGAGGGGTGATGGAAAGGGGGGGAATGGGGCGGGATGATGGGAAGCGGAAGAATGGGGCGGGGTGATGGAAAGAGGGAGAATGGGGCGGGGTGATGGAAAGCGGGAGAATGGGGCGGGGAGATGGAAAGCGGGAGAAAGGGGAGGGGTGATGGAAAGCGGGAGAATGGGGCGGGCTGATGGAAAGCGGGAGAATGGGGCGGGGTGATGGAAGGAGGGAGAATGGGGCGGGGTGATGGAAGGAGGGAGAAGGGGGCGGGGTGATGGAAAGCGGGAGAATGGGGCGGGGTGATGGAAAGCGGGAGAATGGGGCGGGGTGATGGAAAGCGGGAGAATAGGGTGGGGTGATGGAAAGCGGGAGAATAGGGCGGGGTGATGGAAAGCGGGAGAATGGGGCGGGCTGATGGAAAGCGGGAGAATGGGGCGGGGTGATGGAAGGAGGGAGAATGGGGCGGGGTGATGGAAGGAAGGAGAATGGGACGGGGTGATGGAAAGCCGGAGAATGTGGCGGGGTGATGGAAAGCGGGAGAATGGGGTGGGGTTATGGGAAGCGGGAGAATGGGGCGGGGTGATGGAAAGCGGGAGAATGGGGCGGGGTGATGGAAGGAGGGAGAATGGGGCGGGGTGATGGAAGGAGGGAGAATGGGGCGGGATGATGGAAAGCGGGAGAATTGGGCGGGGTGATGGAAGGAGGGAGAATGGGGCGGGATGATGGAAAGCGGGAGAATGGGGCGGGGTGATGGAAAGCGGGAGAATGGGGCGGGGTGATGGAAAGCGGGAGAATGGGGCGGGGTGATGGAAAGTGGGAGAATGGGGCGGGGTGATGGAAGGAGGGAGAATGGGGCGGGGTGATGGAAAGCGGAAGATTGGGGCAGGGTGATGGAAAGCGGGAGATTGGGGCAGGGTGATGGAAAGCGGGAAAATGGGGCGGGGTGATGGAAAACGGGAGAATGGGGTGGGATGATGGAAAGCGGGAGAATGGGGCGGGGTGATGGAAGGAGGGAGAATGGGGCAGGGTGATGGAAGGAGGGAGAAGGGGGCGGGGTGATGGAAAGCGGGAGAATGGGGCGGGGTGATGGAAGGAGGGAGAATGGGGCGGGGTGATGTAAGGAGGGAGAAGGGGGCAGGGTGATGGAAAGCGGGAGAATGGGGCGGGGTGATGGAAAGCGGGAGAATGGGGCGGGGTGATGGAAAGCGGGAGAATGGGGCGGGGTGATGGAAAGCGGGAGAATGGGGCGGGGTGATGGAAGGAGGGAGAATGGTGAGGGGTGATGGAAGGAAGGAGAATGGGACGGGGTGATGGAAGGAAGGAGAATGGGACGGGGTGATGGAAAGCCGGAGAATGTGGCGGGGTGATGGAAAGCGGGAGAATGGGGTGGGGTTATGGGAAGCGGGAGAATGGGGCGGGGTGATGGAAAGCGGGAGAATGGGGCGGGGTGATGGAAGGAGGGAGAATGGGGCGGGGTGATGGAAGGAGGGAGAATGGGGCGGGATGATGGAAAGTGGGAGAATTGGGCGGGGTGATGGAAGGAGGGAGAATGGGGCGGGATGATGGAAAGCGGGAGAATGGGGCGGGGTGATGGAAAGCGGGAGAATGGGGCGGGGTGATGGAAAGCGGGAGAATGGGGCGGGGTGATGGAAAGCGGGAGAATGGGGCGGGGTGATGGAAGGAGGGAGAATGGGGCGGGGTGATGGAAAGCGGAAGATTGGGGCAGGGTGATGGAAAGCGGGAGATTGGGGCAGGGTGATGGAAAGCGGGAAAATGGGGCGGGGTGATGGAAAGCGGGAGAATGGGGTGGGATGATAGAAAGCGGGAGAATGGGGCGGGGTGATGGAAGGAGGGAGAATGGGGCAGGGTGATGGAAGGAGGGAGAAGGGGGCGGGGTGATGGAAAGCGGGAGAATGGGGCGGGGTGATGGAAGGAGGGAGAATGGGGCGGGGTGATGTAAGGAGGGAGAAGGGGGCAGGGTGATGGAAAGAGGGAGAATGGGGCGGGGTGATGGAAAGCGGGAGAATGGGGCGGGGTGATGGAAAGCGGGAGAATGGGGCGGGGTGATGGAAAGTGGGAGAATGGGGCGGGCTGATGGAAAGCGGGAGAATGGGGCGGGGTGATGGAAGGAGGGAGAATGGGGCGGGGTGATGGAAGGAAGGAGAATGGGACGGGGTGATGGAAAGCCGGAGAATGTGGCGGGGTGATGGAAAGCGGGAGAATGGGGTGGGGTTATGGGAAGCGGGAGAATGGGGCGGGGTGATGGAAAGCGGGAGAATGGGGCGGGGTGATGGAAGGAGGGAGAATGGGGCGGGGTGATGGAAGGAGGGAGAATGGGGCGGGATGATGGAAAGCAGGAGAATGGGGCGGGGTGATGGAAGGTTCAAGAATGGGGCGGGGTGATGGAAAGCGGGAGAATGGGGCGGGGTGATGGAAAGCGGGACAATGGGGCGCGGTGATGGAAGAAGGGAGAATGGGGCGGGGTGATGGAAGGAGGGAGAATGGGGCGGGATGATGGAAAGCGGGAGAATGGGGCGGGGTGATGGAAGGAGGGAGAATGGGGCGGGGTGATGGAAGGAGGGAGAATGGGGCGGGGTGATGGAAAGCGGGAGAATGGGGCAGGGTGATGGAAAGCGGGAGAATGGGGCGGGGTGATGGAAAGCAGGAGAATGGGGCGGGTTGATGGAAAGCGGGAGAATGGGGCGGGGTGATGGAAAGTGGGAGAATGGGGCGGGCTGATGGAAAGCGGGAGAATGGGGCGGGGTGATGGAAGGAGGGAGAATGGGGCGGGGTGATGGAAGGAAGGAGAATGGGACGGGGTGATGGAAAGCCGGAGAATGTGGCGGGGTGATGGAAAGCGGGAGAATGGGGTGGGGTTATGGGAAGCGGGAGAATGGGGCGAGGTGATGGAAAGCGGGAGAATGGGGCGGGGTGATGGAAGGAGGGAGAATGGGGCGGGGTGATGGAAGGAGGGAGAATGGGGCGGGATGATGGAAAGCGGGAGAATGGGGCGGGGTGATGGAAGGAGGGAGAATGGGGCGGGGTGATGGAAAGCGGGAGAATGGGGCGGGGTGATGGAAAGCGGGAGAATGGGGCGGGGTGATGGAAAGCGGGAGAATGGGGCGGGGTGATGGAAAGCGGGAGAATGGGGCGGGGTGATGGAAAGCGGAAGAATGGGGCGGGGTGATGGAAGGAGGGAGAATGGGGCGGGGTGATGGAAAGCGGAAGATTGGGGCAGGGTGATGGAAAGCGGGAGATTGGGGCAGGGTGATGGAAAGCGGGAAAATGGGGCGGGGTGATGGAAAGCGAGAGAATGGGGCTGGGTGATGGAAAGCGGGAGAATGGGGCGGGGAGATGGAAAGCGGGAGAAAGGGGCGGGTTGATGGAAAGCGGGAGAATGGGGCGGGCTGATGGAAAGTGGGAGAATGGGGCAGGGTGATGGAAGGAGGGAGAATGGGGCGGGGTGGTGGAAGGAGGGAGAAGGGGGCGGGGTGATGGAAAGCGGGAGAATGGGGCGTGGTGATGGAAAGCGGGAGAATGGGGCGGGGTGATGGAAAGCGGGAGAATGGGGCGGGGTGATGGAAAGCGGGAGAATGGGGCGGGGTGATGGAAAGCGGGAGAATGGGGCGGGGTGATGGAAAGCGGGAGAATGGGGCGGGGTGATGGAAAGTAGAAGATTGGGGCAGGGTGATGGAAAGCGGGAGATTGGGGCGGGGTGATGTAAAGCGGGAAAATTGGGCGGGGTGATGGAAAGCGGGAGAATGGGGCGGGGTGATGGAAAGCGGGAGAATGGGGCGGGGTGATGGAAGGAGGGAGAATGGGGCGGGGTGATGGAAAGCGGGGGATTGGGGAAGGGTGATGGAAAGCGGGAGAACGGGGCGGGGTGATGGAAAGCGGGAAAATGGGGCGGGGTGATGGAAAGCGGGAGAATAGGGCTGGGTGATGGAAAGCGGGAGAATGAGGCGGGGTGATGGAAAGCCGGAGCATGGGGCGGGGTGATGGAAGGAGGGAGAATGAGGCAGGGTGATGGAAGGAGGGAGAATGGGCCGGGGTGATGGAAAGCCGGAGAATGGGGCGGGGTGATGGAAAGCGGGAGAATGGGGCGGGGTGATGGAAAGCGGGAGAATGGGGCGGGGTGATGGAAAGCGGGAGAATGGGGAGGGGTGTTGGAAAGCGGGAGAATGGGGCGGGGTGATGAAAAGCGGGAGAATGGGGCGGGTTGATGGAGAGCGGGAGAATGGGGCGGGGTGATGGAAAGCGGGAGATGGGGCGGGTGATGGAAAGCGGGTGAATGGTGTGGGGTGATGGAAAGCGGGAGAATGGGGCGGGGTGATGGAAAGCAGAAGAATGGGGCGGGGTGATGGAAAGTGGGAGAATGGGGAGGGGTGATGGAAAGCGGGGGAATGGGGCGGGATGATGGGAAGCGGAAGAATGGGGCGGGGTGATGGAAAGCGGGAGAATGGGGCAGGGTGATGGAAAGTGGGAGAATGGGGCGGGGAGATGGAAAGCGGGAGAATGGGGCGGGGTGATGGAAGGAGGGAGAATGGGGCGGGGTGATGGAAGGAGGGAGAATGGGGCGGGGTGATGGAAAGTGGGAGAATGTGGCGGGGTGATGGAAAGCGGGAGATGGGGCTGGGGTTATGGGAAGCGGAGAATTGGGCGGGGTGATGGAAGGAGGGAGAATGGGGCGGGGTGATGGAAAGTGGGAGAATGGGGCGGGGTGATGGAAAGCAGGAGAATGGGGCGGGCTGATGGAAAGCGGGAGAATTGGGCGGGGTGATGGAAAGCGTGAGAACGGGGCGGGGTGATGGAAAGCGGGAGAATGGGGCGGGGTGATGGAAAGCAGGGGAATGGGGCGGGGTGATGGAAAGCGGGAGAATTGGGCGGGGTGATGGAAAGCGGGCGAACGGGGCGGGGTGATGGAAAGCGGGAGAATGGGGCGAGGTGATGGAAAGCGGGAGAATGGGGCGGGGTGATGGAAGGAGGGAGAATGGGGCGGGGTGATGGAAAGCGGGAGAATAGGGCGGGGTGATGGAAAGCGGGAGAATAGGGCGGGGTGATGGAAAGCGGGAGAATGGAGCGGGGTGATGGAAAGAGGGAGAATGGGACGGGGTGATGGAAAGCGGGAGAATGGGGCGGGGTGATGAAAAGCGGGAGAATGGGGCGGGGAGATGGAAAGCAGGAGAATGGGGCGGGGTGATGGAAGGAGGGAGAATGGGGCGTGGTGATGGAAGGAGGGAGAATGGGGCGGGGTGATGGAAAGTGGGAGATTGTGGCGGGGTGATGGAAAGCGGGAGATGGGGCTGGGTTTATGGGAAGCGGAGAATTGGGCGGGGTGATGGAAGGAGGGAGAATGGGGCGGGGTAATGGAAAGCAGGAGAATGGGGCGGGGTGATGGAAAGCGGGAGAATTGGGCGGGGTGATGGAAAGCGTGAGAACGGGGCGGGGTGATGGAAAGCGGGAGAATGGGGCGGGGTGATGGAAAGCAGGGGAATGGGGCGGGGTGATGGAAAGCGGGAGAATTGGGCGGGGTGATGGAAAGCGGGAGAATGGGGCGGGGTGATGGAAAGCGGGAGAATTGGGCGGGGTGATGGAAAGCGGGAGAACGGGGCGGGGTGATGGAAAGCGGGAGAATGGGGCGAGGTGATGGAAAGCGGGAGAATGGGGCGGGGTGATGGAAGGAGGGAGAATGGGGCGGGGTGATGTAAAGCGGGGGATTGGGGAAGGGTGATGGAAAGCGGGAGAACGGGGCGGGGTGATGGAAAGCGGGAAAATGGGGCGGGGTGATGGAAAGCGGGAGAATAGGGCTGGGTGATGGAAAGCGGGAGAATGAGGCGGGGTGATGGAAAGCCGGAGCATGGGGCGGGGTGATGGAAGGAGGGAGAATGAGGCAGGGTGATGGAAGGAGGGAGAATGGGCCGGGGTGATGGAAAGCCGGAGAATGGGGCGGGGTGATGGAAAGCGGGAGAATGGGGCGGGGTGATGGAAAGCGGGAGAATGGGGCGGGGTGATGGAAAGCGGGAGAATGGGGAGGGGTGTTGGAAAGCGGGAGAATGGGGCGGGGTGATGAAAAGCGGGAGAATGGGGCGGGTTGATGGAGAGCGGGAGAATGGGGCGGGGTGATGGAAAGCGGGAGATGGGGCGGGTGATGGAAAGCGGGTGAATGGTGTGGGGTGATGGAAAGCGGGAGAATGGGGCGGGGTGATGGAAAGCAGAAGAATGGGGCGGGGTGATGGAAAGTGGGAGAATGGGGAGGGGTGATGGAAAGCGGGGGAATGGGGCGGGATGATGGGAAGCGGAAGAATGGGGCGGGGTGATGGAAAGCGGGAGAATGGGGCAGGGTGATGGAAAGT